ATGGGACCTCAGTACCTTCCGGCTCTGCCGGCTAACTAACACCAAATCTCTTTCAGTTTTACGTGGAAGTGTGTATGACTAATATGGGGTTAACAGATGACATGTAGTGACACATTAAATGAGACAGGTCTTAATTATCATTAGCAAAGGTTGTTAATTTATGCCTTTGGTTAGCGGTTGTTTTTGTATTTATATTTGGGTGGTAAGGGCAACGATCGTGGGTTTCTCTGCCATGCTCTTTCCCCACAGGAGCTTTAGGTGAGCCTGGCACTCTCCTTTTATGTTAAATGGTTGTTAATGTTTTTGTTGTTTCTATTTGTCACATGTTTAATTTGAATTGTAAGTAAATAAAGGTTAGGTGTATTTGCTCTGCTTTTGTTTTATATAATTAAACCATACATCCCCCCACAAAGTTAGTAGCCAGCGCCTTCCGGTCAATTAAAAATAGATACACACAACGTAGGGATTCCTTATGACGATCACATATTTTTGGCCACAACTACGTTTACTTATTTTTTTGTCGAACCTAGGGTTGTTATACTACAGTACTTTCCTACCCTGTAGTTCGATAAAATTTCTACCCTATACCAATCGTGCCATGTACATAATTGATTTTATTCGCACTTATTTATTTACATCCTGTATATTTCATATACAAGTTCCCTATTGTCTTTCGGTATTTTTATATAAAAGTACATTGTCAAAAATGATGTCCTAATAACTCGGATGTTATAATATTATGTCGCGATATTTCAAATATTATCATGACGGTTTCCATTAGTGCAGTTAGATAAATATCTCGTACATATTTATTAATTGATGGGTAAATATTTGGCAATATTTCTTTAGGTACTACTTACATGTCATATTTAAAATAACATATTTAAAACAGTCATGGAGTATATAGTATAACTGGATAAAAAAGTTTCTCTCTTAAAACTTTAAAAGGGGTTTAAAAAACCAAATGAATAAAATTCTGGTACAAAGAACTATATTTAGTTTGAAATTTTTTTATTATTTTTATTATACAGGGTTTCCCTGAAAAGGATGGACAACGCTTGACCAGGTTCCTTGGATGAAAATAAGACTATTTTCAGCCTAACTTACCTATATACAAAAGTGCACGCCTACCGAGATATAGCCTTCTAAATATGGAATAGATAATCTATTTTTTTTTTCAAATAATTCGAAAACTATTTTTCTTAGAAACTTCAAATTTGGGACACTTATTTTTTTATATAAGGACAAGGTAAATGTAGAATTTGGAGAGAATACATATGCAGGATGTTATATTTCTAGTGCCTGTGCGCCACTAGATATCCCGTAACTTTTTTGTGTGTATGCCAATGACGACAGAATTTATACTTTTAAAAATAGGCACTATTTTAGAAGATTTTTTTGCTCTTACAAAATTTCGATATCGTTTATGGATTTCGAGTAAAATTCGCATTTGTCATACATTAAATATAGGCAAAAATTCCGATTTATAAAAAATAATTTATAACGGTAGCCTCAAAGCAGGGAATAATAATGAAAAAACGTCACATTAAAATAACTACACATTTTTGGTATTAGTATTATCAATCAATAAAATAAAAATCAACACTAATATTCTAAATAAACAATGTCAACTAATAACGTAAAAAAGTCAACATTAACATTTTAAATAAACTGATATTTGTAACCACATTAAAATAATATTACAGTCAATGCTCAAAGTTACTTTCCTGTTCTTAAACGCAAACATTAGTTCTTCGAAAATTAGAAATTATCCAATAATTGTGCATTACCTATCATAACATTAATTTCATGTTGTATTCTTTCCCATATTCGTTGTCTGTATTTACTGAAAAGTTATATTAAACTGTGGTCCTCAACGCTCCTCAAATGAAATAATTACATGGGTTTAGGTCCGGGGATCGAGGTGGCTATTTTAAAGGGGCATTATTTCCTCTACCTATCCACCTGTTAGACCTTTAATAACCTGTAATACCCACCTATACCCTGTAATACCTGTAACCAGTAATAACTGGTCTTTTAATACTCTATTAAAGGAACTTTTTGAAAGCCAATCTCTGCGGCTAAACGTCTTTTATTTACTTGAGGAATTTCTTCGACCCTTTCCAAAATTTGTTCCTCCAGCTGAATAATTCCGGCCGTACATTATCCACGATTTAATGTTACAGGTAAAAAACGTCCTGTTTCCCGAAGGCGTCTCTCTCTGCATTAGCAAATGTTTTGTGATTTGGAGTTCTTCGATTAGGAAATCTTTCAGCATAATATGTTCGAACAGTAGCACAACAATTTCCTTCACAATAACCCAAAACTACTAACATAATAGTTCAGCAAAAGTATAAATTGCAATAAAAAACAAAGTAAGCTAAAATTAAGTCACAGCTAGCTTGACTCAGAACCTTTTAATTATTGTAATGAATTTGTTTCTCTGTTATATGGCACCTCGTACTAGAATGTTCTATTTATCTTAAACTGATTTTATATTATTTAATGTGTAAAAAATACCAATTTTACTCGAAATCCATAAACGATACCAAAATTTTGTAAAAGGCAAAAAATCTTCTAAAATAGTGCTTATTTTTAAAAATATAAATTCTGTCGTCATTGGCGTACATACAAAAAAGTTACGGGATAGCCAGTGGCGCACAGGCACTAGAAAGAGAACATCCTGTATATGTATTCTCACCAAATTCTATATTTACATTGCCCTTATATAAAAAAAATATGTGTATCAAATTTGAAGTTTCTAAGAAAAACAGTTTTCAAATTGCGAGTATTTGAAAAAAACTAGATTATCTGTTCTATATTTAGAAGGCTACCTAGTAGGCGTGCACTGTTGTATATGGGTAAGTTAGGCTAAATAGTCTTGTTTTCATCCAAGGCGTTGTCCATCCTTTTCAGGGACACCCTGTATATAGCTGCACAAGAATATTTATACCGCATATTAATAGTAATAACAGATTTTGTCCAAAATGTTCGTATAATGATAAAGTTTCGAGTTTTAAATTGTACCGGGATAATTATTATCAGCAACGAGCTGACGAGGTAAATGACATCTTGTCTCATCCACAGTCTATGGAATCTTTGAGTGCCCAGCAAAAATTCGATCACGATAAAGTGAAATTTTGTCATATTTGTGAAAACCCGTTTTTCACTTGTACCAATAAATAAGGAAGAATACATTTCTTTCACAAAAGGTATAAAATAAACAATAATCAAACTGATTTATCGATTCATTTCGTTCCATGACTGATAAAATTGCAAAATTTAACTCTTATCTAGATGATCGGATACGAACCATGCACTAAATCACATTGTGATTACGATGTGGCCTTCGAGCTCTTGACGATTAACGGTGTCTTTCCTGACAATTATTTAAACTGTTAGGGAAAATAAAATCATTTTACTTACTTTTACTTTACCGACCAAAGCACGGCAATGTCTCGATCAATTTAATAACTTGAATTTTTCCGATTTATCGGATGATGTCGAAATACTTTAGGATCCATACTTCATGAGCTCCACAAAATCTTGCCTCTATGCTGGCAACAAATAATTTCTCCCAGCGGAGTACTAATTCACCGATCTGTCGAAATAGACGTGTCCAAAATCGAACATAGGATTGATATAGATAATGATGATACTAGGTAGATTGAATGATTACCTTAAATAAATTATGCATTCTAAAGTAAGTTTTACTCCTGTGTAAAACATGTTTCTCTCTAGACCACTGGACATACCGTGACTTCACCGTAGCTCCTCGAATAGTGGTCTTTCTATAGTCAGAAACTGACGCTCGAGACAACCGAGACCGTAAATATCTCCATCGCTTAATCATCGTAGTGATTGGCACACTTCTCGCCAACGAAACGTCAGAGTACCGACAGATCAATTCTACAGTCTGAATATTTCCGATTAATCGGATGATGCCGATCGGTTGCAGTTTACCATTGAATACCCACCTAAACCTCAAATGCTCTACAAAGACTTACCGTAAGAAGCAACTAAAATTATTAACTACACTATTTTTGAAAATCGGACACATTTTCCATGAAAGACAATTGAAAAGCTAGATTATGGAGTGAGGACTAAAAGTTATTAAAATCCATAACATATGAAAATTCAATCAATCGATTTGGCTGCAAATATTTACAAATTTAAATACATAATTATGGAAACAGGAGACTAACAAAGTTTCTATAAACTACTGAACAACTCGGTATTTGGCAAACCGATGGAAAACTTGAGGAAGCATAAGGACATTATTCTGGTGACGCAGTGGAAGCGTCGGTACGGGGCACATATCCTTTTTTTTTTGTTATTAATATTACTACTTAAAAAACTAGCTCTCAAACCAAAAGCCGTAACAGCAGGCAAAGATTAAAATCACCGATGTCTTATTTGAATTTCTATTACTTTTCAAGTTTTGATAATAAAGTACTAATCTGATAGTGCTTGGATGGTATTAATAATGTGCTGATAGTACAATCAAACCTAGCAAAAAAAATCTATGTTGAAATTTAATATCCTACATAAATATAAAAAAAGTAACACTTCCTTACCGCTACGACCCGATATGCTGTTATTTTCGAAATCACTGGTCTTGTGCAGAATGCTCTTTTTCCTGACTGGTCCCATATCAGCGTGATCCGACGCGGCGGAAACTTTCCGACTCCTGGGTGATTCAAAGGCCGGATTGTCGTGACCTCGATCGTGACAGTGGGGTCCATCGACTATACTGACTTTTCTGCCATTGTGGTGGTCTGAATGGGACACTGGTGATGGACAGGAAGATACTACTAGGTCTTGGTCAACTGACATCTCTGCAAAATGTTAACTGTTAGTTAATTGCTGACGTATTAAGACAAAATCCATTAACTTTAATTCCTGTGTGAATTATGATCAATATTCTGTCTAAGGGTAAGCGTTTTAAGCGATTTATGATATTTTTTTCGTTGTCAGATTTTTAATGAGGTTAGAGCGTTTACCTTAAGCCCAGAATATTAGTCAGGGATACAGGAGTACATTATGGGTTTACTGGTTTGCAAAATATATGCTATGTGGTTGTCATAACGGAAAATGTAAATTTTGGATTACTTACACGACGGTGATGAATTTCTATAGGTTGTATAGGTTGTATAGGTTGTAAGTAAACTCAAGTTTTGATGAGACATTAGTAAATTTGTATCAATGAGTAAGGAATAATATATCATATCACTATATCACTATATCACATATATCAATATATCACAGTAAAACAATGATTATACAAATACTTCGGAAGTATTAGGCTGAAAAAATGGCGCGAATGTCAGAAATTTCTTTTCATAAAAAGTTAATTAAGTTGTGTTCAAGATATCTCTACGCAATTTTTACCATTCAATATTTCATAAACAACGGGTCCGAGATAAGAGACCTTATGCTTTTGTCTGTCTCTTTGGTAAATATGAGTAATGTTTAAAAATGTGGATAATTGGCTACGCTATTTCATATGTTTACAGTCGTTTAGTTGTGTAGCAGGAACTCCACCAATTATGTAAACTGATGGTCTGTCTGGATATCATATATCTGACAAATCAGGTAGGTATATCTATAGAAGTATACCTAAGGACCACATTAAAAAAAAATAATTGTTTTACATTCAGAGTAATGAGAGTTTAAACATATGTAAACCAAATTCAATTAGTCCATAAAAAATGCTTTTCATCTTTTTGGTTAAGTTCATTTATCTCTGTCGATACCTGACGTCAATAAGAAACTGTGGTCGAATTACTAGATTTAAAAAATTATTAAAATTTACTAAATAAAAGTTTTAAAACCGGACGGAATTATCTTTTTTATATTTTCTACATTGTCGATAGTATTAACAGTGTAGTCATTAAAACCATGGAAGGAACCTCTGTAAGGTAGATGATTAGTTTCTTATGAACAGTAACATTGCCATTGCCATTGACAATATTCAATTCATTCTTTCATCTTTCATAACTATAATTAGGTTCTGCTCCGTTCGTCAGTAAGTATTGAGGATTTGTAACATAAGTCATAAATTGACGAAGAAATACTGCAATTACTACAAGATAATTTAAATGTAACTAATAGAATCTGGTATTATTGAAAACCCAATACTTATACATATATTTTTTAAATTACTAATAGTATCAGAGGAGTATCCACAGAAGCATTTGAAAACGTATTACTGTAGGTTATATAAAATAGTTGCTAATGCTAACCTTTTCAAAATTTTTGGTAATGGGCACTCCTGGTTTCATAAATTAAGTAATAATAAATCTTCCGTAAATGTTTTATAATACGATTAAATAAATTACAGTAATAAAAATGTTAGTTTTCATGTCACCCTGTTTATAGGAAATAAAGTATTTTTCGACAATATCTATTGGTGGTATTTGATCTATTAGTACACCCCTTATAAAGTCCTCGAATTAATAACCATACGTTGCTCTAGCACTATAGGTATAAGACATGAATTTAAATAATATGTATGTAATAAATGTTACATTTTTGTCACATACTATGTATTCCCATGGACGTAAATTGTCAAAATAGAAACAAACATGTTTATTTCCTCCTGTAATTAGATTACGACATTATTATATTTACCTTAACAAGAAACAGATAATCTGTCAATACAAAAAAACATGTTTACTCAGTAATTCACTTCAAAAAATTGTTTCTAAAATTTGAATCGAAATTCTAAAAAATAAACACATTTTATATCAAAGTTTTGATATTACCTTTAACAGAACACCTGTTACACCTGTTAAATAAACGAGCAGAACTAATCTAATAATATTTACAGCAGCGTGGTTTAAAACCTTTATTTGAAAAATATGCCTAGAAAGCCAGTTCTAAATCTTGCGTATTTTATGAGCCACAAACTTTACAACCAGTAGTAATGAAAATCGCATTCTTGCTATTTAATAGTGTATTGATTTATTGACTGTACAATTAAATTATTTTTAAATAAACGCCGATATAAAATATGAGGGAAATTTTGCATGACATATTATTGTAATTGTAGGTATATTAAAGTTTGTTAAAAGGTACTAAACCAATTCCAATCAAGTGTAAAAATTTTCCAAAATTTCCATCCGACGCAGTCATATTCTTTCACACCAATATCTAACTATCCTAGAAGGCGGTTTCAAACACAAAGTAAGTATTAATTAATATTTTAATGATATTGAAGGAGTCTAATCTGCGGGCTAAAGTGCCGTCCAGCTTTAAATAAAACCGTTAAAATCTAATGAACAAATTATACCTCGCCGTCAAAGTAAAGTCGAAGTATAAAAGCTACTATTAAAAATGTATAAATAACAAAATTATACTTTATAAACCAGATATATGCTGGAGAATAAAGTGGTTTATATGGTACATAAAATACTATAATAAAATTAATATATAACCTTTTTTTATTACGTTTTATTGGAATTTTTTACAATAGTATTAAAGATAAAGAATGACATTTTACTAATATATTCAGAGTCAGAAACTCTTGCATTGGCAATTTCATTCAGTATTTTCATGTTGATAAGTTGGTAGGGCCAGCAACAGCCAATAGCAGTGGATATACGCTCAAGCGTAAATTTACAATTCACCTGAAACTCCCTCGCAAGAAGGCCACTCTATTGATATGTTGTTTTTCATTACAGCTTGCTACAAACATCGATCTAATACGCCAACAATTAGAAAGTAAGAAAGTACGACACGGTAATCTGATTTGAATTATTTAGTATTTTTTGTGCACAGTATATTAGGAAAAATATATAAGAAATAGGAAACGACGAAAAGTATTTTTATTTAAAGAAATTGAGTAGCAGAACCATGGATTACCAGTAACAAAAAATAAACGGTCTCTTTGAGTTTTTCATCAAGAAAGAACTCCATGGAACGTTTTGGATGAAGGTTCTTAAAAGCCAAAGATCAATGTTTTCCAAGATTAAGTTTTTGGAAAATAAATTTCAAACATTTCCTTATGTACTGATAACTCTCATTATATTTACAATACATTTCGTGGAAAAGTAGACATACCTTGCATTTCAGATTCAAATGTTCAAAGATGTAACGCCCCGACTAAAAACCTTTTGTTGTCAAAATGAATCTACTATTAAATTCTACCGTTTTGATAATAATTGTTGTTTTACATACGAAGCAGTTATCACTCTTCACGTATTTGTAATATACGAAACAGTCACCTTTTTCATTGTTATCTATCCCTGATTACCAATAATTTAGTCAGATCACATACAGCAGTGAACCGTAGGTTATTACTTTCGTATGCCTTAAAAGATGTGAGCTTCCGTTAAACTTGGGTAAACGTGCGTTGGTACAAGTGATACTGCCGTTGGAATTTTTAATTGCGCTTTCTTTTGAGATCATTCGTGGAGTGAGTATTGCGCATTCGAATACGAATACTGATATCATTCATAGTTCCAAAAGGATTTCAATCCAAAGCTTTTAAATTTCTTTAAAAAACATTTTGTACTATAACCTTTTCATATACAAGGTGTTATCAAAATAAGTAGGTACTCAAAATTGGGCAGTATGTAAAACATGTCGAAACATGATGAAAACCTTAGTAGAGTTTTTGTTAGTGGCGGCCCCTAAGGGAGATACAGCCCGTTGAAGAGATAACTCAGGAAACAGTTTTTATTGCATAACTTCAAAACGGTCTAATATTAAATCGCAAAATTTTGGGGTTGTATTACTATTTATATGCTTAAGAATCGTCGTAATATGCAAATCAACATTTACTACAGGGGCGTAAGAAAATGCGGGACCATGGGGCAAATTTTACAATTTATTTTTTTTTTGTATGCAACTTATGAAAATTTATCATATTTTGCATAAAAAAGGTACTCTAGTTAGATTTTAATAGCATGAGCCGTTTTCTAGTAAAATCCATTTCAAAAATTCATTACGTGCTAAAAAATTCCTGCTGAAAATAAACGTATCAAATTGTGCCATGAGAAAATTACTGTTTATGATACTTAACAGAGGTGTCAAGTATATGTAACAAAAGTCGGGACGCGTAGTAATTTATTTATTAGTTCTCAGAACGGATGGGCCAAAAAGTAAAATATTTCAGTCAACACTAATTTATCGGAAAGTTAAGGGTTTTCAAGTAGGTTTAACGTCGCCAAGACCGTCTTTCGAAGAAGGCCTCATAAAATTTAGGAATATTCTTGAACAAGTTCACTTAGACCGTCGGGGCCAGGTGACAGTCGGGGACAGGTTGCATCCGGGAGGCTCCAGCCTATGCTGGGACAGAACAAAGAAACCTATATTTTTAATAACGCGCGAAACCAAGAGAAAAGCGTAGAGGTTCCAAATTAGAATTTAATCAAATTGTTAAATTGATAATAATGGGAAAGGGAAGTAATAGATCAAACAGCTGTTTTTTAGGCGGATTTTCCAAGCTATTAAGAATATATTAAATGAGATCCGTTCCGTATTGCTACACGGAGTCACTAGAGGAAGGCTAGGATTACTTGTAAGTTCAGTTAGTCACAGAATTATTTATATAAATGTAAGTCCTGTCAATTAGGTAATATACCAAAGCGTCCCGATATTAAGGTTCCCGCCAATAAGATAAGAAGAGAAACTTCTGGACCCAAGAAATGGGCGTGTCGAAGCGAGGTGTCGAATTCAGGAGAGATCCGAAAAACAGGCAGTTCTTCCTTGGGTTTCACATTGAGTAGTCTACTTAGTGTTAGAGGATCGAATTCATTTAATACTTAATGGATAGAGTCATTCCAAATTTTGCTATGGATCGCGCATTCCCTGAATCTCGGTACGCTGTCGC